GTTTCCGTCAGGACCCGTGTCCTCCATGCTGAGCCCTGAACGGGTCCCGTGGGGCCCAAAAGGGGCACAACAGGTGCATGTTTCTCGGGGGCCTCCAAACGGCGCGTTGACCACACCGTGTGGTGAGTCGGTGGGGATTCGGAGTCACCGCACGGTTTTGGGACTCGGGTCGTTCTCTGAGGACGTCTCGGGCGACGGGCATCCGAGGCCCCAAGACCGTGCGTCGGCGGACCGTGCGGTGAGGCCTTGGGGGACTTCGAGGTCACCTCACGGTCTGTCGCCGCACCGTTGCGGGATTCCAGAGTTCCCCCCCCGCGCCTGAACTCTCTGCCTGCGGCGGCGAGAGGCTCGGGACTCGCCGTGCTGGCGCGGGCAACCTGAGCGCGTGCGCCCCTGCTTGCCGGGGCGTCGTCCACGGGTCGTGGCGCCTAGAGCGGGTTTCGCTCGGAAAGCGATAGGGTGGGCCCAGGGTGTCCTTGAGGATTTCGCTGTGGATTTCGAGGTGAGGTTCGTGCGGCTTTCTTTCGGCCAGGAATGAAGACCAAAAAGAACCCACGCGAAATTGACTTCGTTCTTCGCTCGCCGCTTCGGGCAAACATCCACGCAGAGATCCGTTGTAGCACGTCTGCAAGGCCGGTGCAATGACACGGGCGGCGAGCGCCGTCGCGGTTTTTGAACAGTGGCGAGGCGTCCTTATTTGGAGATCGCCTTCTTATTCCTTGTCTTGCCGATCGGCGCGGGCCCTCGCACCCCTTCTCCTCCCCCCCCGTGGAGTAGATCTTGGCTGTGTTTAGCGCCTGTTTCAAGCAGGTGGAGTGAGCATTGGGGATTCCCCATGGTAGCCCCGCCTCCACATAGGATTCCCCATGGGAGCACTGTTCCAAACAGTCGCTTTAAGCAGAGGTCCGGAGCCGGAGCCCCCCCCCTCCCCCTTTTCTGTCCATTGACAAAACGCCGAATAAGAAAACGTTCACCTGTAGGCCCACCAATGCATGTTCAAATAACCTTCTCGTGGTTTGCACGAGATGTCCTTAGAACGCTGAGGCCGTCGTGTTTGAACACGTCGGCTTCGCTTTCTAAAAACACTGATGTTTGCTATTCCAACGTTCTTGCGTTCTAAGATTATCCAACTGCCTACGGCAAGTCCCGCCACCGTGCCTGGGTTGTGGGATGTAAGCTCAGTGGATGTTCGTTTGAATCTCGTGGGAGGCCTCTTGGAGGCAGGTTCGATGCCTCTTTGGAGCTTTTGGGGGGCCTCTTGGGAGCCTCTCGAGGGCCTCGTGGGGGCCTCTTGGGGGCCACTTGGGAGCCTCTTCGGGCCTCTTAGGCGCCTCTTGTGGCCTCCTGGGGCCCCCTTGGGGCGGAAGGCTCAGATTTTCGGCTCGTGCTCCCGCTCTGGGGCCCCTTTGGGGGCTGTCTTGGGGCCCTCTAGGCCGTCTTGGGCGCCGCTTGGGCAGTTTCGGGGCGCTCTTAGGCCGTCTTGGGCCCTTCTTGGATGCCTCTTGGGCAGTTTTGGGGTGGCCTTGGGGGCCTCTTGGTACGTCTTGGAGCGTCGGAAAGCTGAAAAGACGAGAACACCAAATCCTTTCAAGCATGCAAACGAAGTCAATGATTTGTGCCTTTGGGGGGCACTCTTGGGGGACCTCTTGGAGGCCTCTTGGGCCGCCGTGGAAGCCTCTTGCTCTTGCGCCATCTTGAGCTTCATTGAGCGATCGTTCGGCGACTCGGGGCCATGTTGGACCGTCTTCTTGGAGGCCTCCTGGGCCGTCATGGAAGCCTTGGGAGCCCAAGGGAGGCGCCATGGCCAGTAGTGTGGCCGTGCTGGGCGTTTCTTGGGGCTCGCTGAGGCTTTCTTGGGACGGTCCGAAGCCGAACAGCCTCGGAAGGAACAAACAGTGACTCTCCTCGAACAAACGAAGTGCGGTGTCAAGCCATTCCGCCTGCAGGAAGATATTCGGCCCCCCCTGCCACATCTATAATGCCGAGCGTGTATTGCCTCCCAGCGAGGAACATGAAACAGCCTGATGCCCAACACAAGCTATTGTCGATGTCTGGGAAACTGCCGCACAATGTGACACCAGTGCGTCAACCTTCGAGGCCATTCTTCGAACCCGCTAACATCCCAAAGCCAGAATCAGGCGCACGCTTCGATGCGGGTACGTTGGCGATCCAAATGTTGCGTTTTCGCTGCCGGGCATTTTCTGGCCATACCAATGCAGCAAAACATAGCCAATGGTTTGTCGACACCAACGGGTGAAAATCGAGAAGCGCATCTGCCACCGAACATAACGTCACAATCAAGGTGTCGCTTCCAGTGTATTTGAGAGCGGCGCTTTCGCCAAATATCCGCCTGCTGCTAATCAAAACTTGACGGCACACATGTGCTTCAGTGTTTTTCGCCCCCCGAGGGCCTTGGTGAGTGCCTCCTCGGTCGTGCCTTGGAGGCTTCTCTGGGCTTGGTGGATCATGTTGGGGAGATCCTGCAGCCTTCAGGGGCTGGTTGGGCCGACTTTGTCTTCGGGTGGTCCTGCAGCGTCTTGCAGCTTGAAGTTTCGTGGATGCCGAAGTCGGCGGTGAGGAGGAACATCAGGGGAGCGGTTTTCGGACGACGCGTGCGTCGGGGGGGGGTCGGCCTTGGAAACAACTCGGATACCCTTCGGAACAACAGACAAGGAATCCAGCACGCCGCAGCGTGCCGCTTGCACGCTGGCGAACAAACCAGTGCCGTCCGTGCATCTCATCAGCCTTTTGCTGGCAATGTTGTTTCCAGAGCAGGCTCCCCTGCCCCCTCTCTAATTCTGACGGAAGAATGCGGTATTTGTAGTTCTGCTTGACACGAGGTTTGGTTGACATCAGAGCTCTGGATCAGTGCCATCGGCGGAACAAGTCACCACCGTTGAGCCTCCGCGGGCCTGTTTCGGTTTTAGGTCATGGAGGGGTTGGTTACACTCGCGCTCCCGACGTAGATCCCTGTTTGTGCATCTTTTCGGGCGGTAACGGGCATTATCGAGCGGGTGGGAGAGGGCCAAGTAAAGTAGCTCACGATTCGCAACGGCGCCGTCTCCGATTTTGGTGCCCCCGACCATTCCGGGACCGCGCCAGCGCGTACCAAAGAGGGCGCCTGGGGCGGCCCTGGTAACAAGCGCTACCGCTTACCATTTCAACAGCGATCTCATAGTGATTGTCTGTTCTTGCGCCCTGCCCAAGTCGCATCCCCTTTGCCTCTTCGAGTGAGCGACATAGGAACGGGGTCGACTGCGCGATTACGCGGGCACTCGCGCGCAGGCTGCCCGGTGCGTCCACCCATCTTCCCCGCGCGGTGTGTCGCGCTGGATTCTTGCGTAGGCCATAGCGTCAGGTCGCCGTGTCCTCTCGTGTACGACCCTTTCTTTTCGTTGCTCAAATGAGTACTGGAGCCCGTTTCTTTATTGCTTGGGGCATGACGGGCGTCATGGCCCCCCTCCCCCCCCCTCGTGACGTAACGGTCCCCCCCCACTGCGTTCCGGGCACTGCCGCCGTGCGTTTTGGGATCCGCGTAAGTGTGCGCGTAGGAATCCGCATAGCAGTTTGGTCCGCAGTCGTCGTCGTCGTCGTCGTCGTCGTCGTCGTCGTGGCTCGTGGCTTGTCGCTCGTCGCTCATAGTCGTCGTGCGCGCGGACGCGGGTGAAGCCTGTTTTTTATTCCGGGTCGATGACGGCAATCATCTTAGGGGGGGGGTGGAGGGGGTCGATGTCGTCACGTTTCGCGCAGGCGGCGTTTGGGAATACCTGCGAATGACGGAGGACGGGTAGCGCCAGCATGTAGGTAGCGATTTGCACCACAGAGCTTTTGTACACCACAGTGCCTGCGTGCACCATAGCGCCTGTGTGTACCACACCGTCTATGTACACCACAGCAGCCGCGTGCAACACAGCGTCAGTTTGCGCCACCATGCCTGTGTGCACCACAGCAACCGTGTGCAACACAGCACCGCTGTTGCATATTGAATGTTATAACGAATCCTTATGACAAAATGGAGCGCTTGTGAATCCCGCAGAAAACAATAGAGAATAATCCGTATGGACAACGGAGCGCCGCTGGAATCTACGAGTCCTCCCGAGTCAGGCCGCATCACCCTAATTCTTCCCTTCTGCGTCCAGGAGGCTCCAGCTGAATTGGCCGTCCGAGAACCAAGTGGACCGATTCAATAGACCGTTTTGCGGTGCGCGCTGAAATGCGCACGTGCGCTGTAGCGCCAAACCGCACGACAGGGGGTAAGGATGAAGAGGCGGAGGAGGAGGAGGAGGAGGTGGTGGAAGTGGAGGAGGAGGGAGGAGGGAGTAACGTCGCATTCGATCATCAACACTTTTCTGGCGTGGCGTCCAGTTGTCCGCAGCAGATCCTCACGTACATGTTCCTTCTACTTGTCTTATGCACGCAGGCATTGTGGTGTACACCAGCGCTGCGTTGCACGCGGATGCTGTGGTGTAGACACGCGCCGTGGCGTGCACAGGCGTTGCGGTGCACGCGAGCATTGTAGTGTACACAGGCGCTGTGTTGCGCATGGTAACTGCGATGTGCACGTGTACACCAACGCTGTAGTGTACGCAAGCACTGTGGTGTACACAGGCGCTGCGTTGCACACGGTTGTTGCGGTGTGCGCAGGCGCTGTGGTAAACACGCGCGCTGTGGTACACGAGAGCGTTGTGGTGTACACAGGCGCATTGGGGCATATCGCCACCTACATGCTGCTCGCGTCGTCGTCGTCGTCGTTGTCGTCGTCGTTTGTCGCTCGTCGCTCGTCGCGTCGCGCGCGCGGGCGTGGCTGCGGTACCGGAGCCACACGGGGGGGGGAGAGGGGCGTTATGTCATACCCCTCTTTCGCCCCCCCCCCCCCCCCATGACGCCCGTCATCGCCGAACATAAAGCGACGCCCTCCTGGCGGACACAAGCTCTCGCTCTCCTGAGCTGTTGGGTACGGTGATGCGGGCTTCCTTCTGCCACTCGCGCGCGCGTGCTAGGTCGTCGAATCGGACTTCGCCAGCGGCCTCGCCTCCGAGGAGACGACGGAGTCCGACGCGCAGACGCAGTACGAGAAGGTTGGGCGGTGGCATGGAGAGGGGCTCTGGGTCTTGGAACTGGCTGGGGGGCTGAGGTGGCCCAGCATTGGTTCTGTCCAGCAGAAGGGGGGATACAGGGGCCCCTTTGTTAGTGTGGGGATTGAGAAACCAATGCCTATTTGAGACTATTCATTCGCATTCGTGCTCGCATTTCCTTTTTGAGAGTAGTATAGCTCGTTACCTTGCGTGCCAATGGAGCCAGCAAGCATCACCCCAAACGCCGACTGCTTGCTGGTAGCCCATAGCGCAAACCTGGTGCCTGGTGCTGAATTGATGGGCGTTCCCGTGACGTGGATGGGTTGAAATTAATAAGTTGTCAGTTTCGAACCCAGGAGGGGCGGTGGACCGATTTTGGGTGTATTGCGAAGGCCTTACGGTCATTGCCGCCGACCCTGAATGGCGACGACGACGACGACGAGCGCTCTCGGGGGCCTCTTCGGAGCAGTTTGGGGGCCTCTTGGGAAGTTCTGGGGGGCCGCTTGGAAGCCTCGTGGGGGCCTCTTGGGGTCTCTGGGGGTCTCTTGGGAGCTTCTTGGGCCTTCTTGCGGGGCTTCTTAGGGACCTCTGGGGGCCTCCTGAGAGCTTCTCAGGCCGAGGGCTCGAAATGTCCGTTCGGGTCCCCCGTCTGGGCTCCTCCTTGGAGCCGTCTTGGGGGCCTCTTCGGCTGTCTTGGAGGCCTCTTGGTCGGTCTTGGGGCCCTCTTGGGTCGTTTTGGGGCTCTCTTGGATGTTTCTTAGGCGATATTGGGGCGGTCTTGGGGGGCTTCTTGGCCTGTCTTGGAGCGTCGGGAAGCTGACAAGGCGAGAATGCCGAAATCTTTCAAAAACTCAAGGGAAACGATACTTCGGCGATTCGGGTCCCTCGAGGACATTCTTGGGGGCCTCCTCTCGGAACACTTTGCTATGTCTTGGGGATTGTCTGGGCTCCCGAACCGCCCGGAGGGGAGTCGTATCTGACCCGGGACCCCCCCGGGATTTGCCACGGGACCCCCCCCAGGACCCCTCTGGGACCCCACCCGGGACCTCCCCCCCCGGCGGGGAAGGGATCAAAGGGAAGGGGCTTCCCTTCGACTCAACTACAGCGCTGCTCAATTTTGCTGTGGCTGTCGCGCTCGAGGAGGAGGGCCCGGTGAAAGTGGAGGCAGCGGCGCCATGATAAGTTGTCAGTTTCGAACCCAGGAGGGGTCGGGGGACCGATTGGGGGTGTATTTGATTTTTCCCCCCCTTGGCCTAATTTTCTGGGGCCCATCCAGCGCAGATATCTTGACAGCTTCCAATCTGGGTAGGTCCTCTTTCTGTTCGGAAGCAAACGTTTCGAGGTCCGCGCGGAGTTCTTGGGTCGGCTCTGGACCCCCCTACACCACACCCCTTCCCTGGCGTGCGGAGCGCCACAGGGGCTGCGCCGCAGGGGCTGCCACGGGGTGCGGACAGGGGTGTCCAGCACCGTCTCAAGAAGTTCATGAGGATGGAACGACACAGACACAGATAAGCGTAGATTTCAAGTACACGATCGGAGAATATGGGAAGTGGAGGAGAAGACGAACATCCAGAAAATAGGGGGTCACTTAGGGAACCTGGAAGTGTGTGTGTGTATGTATGAGTGACTCCCTGGGCCCCTGCTAAGAAGTCCGCACCCGACCTGCTGCGAAAGTTCGTTGGTTGCCTGGTTTGGGAGATCATACCTCCCACCTTTGTTTTTCGCAAGCGCTTGGTGCCAGGAAGGCCGGGTCAGTGGCCCAAGCCATGGTTGCAGCACGCAGTGGAGGAGATGAGGCGAGACGGGATCGGAAGGTCGAGGGTCGCGCAGCAGTTCAGAGAGCCCCTCCTTGTCCTACATGTTAGTCCTCCCTGATGCGGCGCGATCCTCCGACCCCTGTTACTCTGACCCCAGTTGGGAGGCCTCTATACACAGGGTGCGCGTCGGAAAAGCAATGGGTTGAGGTACGCCTGCTTACCCATCGTGACTCAGACCCCCCCCCCGAAATCAGGGGCGACCGAGCGAAGGCATGCTAGGTCACCTCTAGCTCATCACCCTGCCTCTATGCTCACTCTGTGCCTGGCACCCTCTACAGCGTATTCCTTTACACGCCTTCAGCCCCATTTGGCCTGGTACCCCGTGATTAGAGCTCTTACTCCTGTGTGCTTGCACCGTCCCGCTTGTGAGTCAAAAGAGGGATTCGAAGATGTCGGTACGTGCAGTGGCTGTGCCGATGGCCCCCGTGGAGTTCGAGAGTGCACTCGCTGCAAGCGGCTCGACCTCCCACGTGGACCTGATGGCGAGGAGGACGAGGACGAGTATGAAGGATAGGCGGGGAAGCAGAATGGAGGTAGGAAGGGATCAGCGTTGTTTTGTTTGGGTGCGAATGTGACATTACCTCACGATGCGCCAAGGATTAAGGGTAGACGCCGTTACAGTCGAACACGAATGTCATGCAGCAGCGGGTGTTGGGATTGACGGATGTTTTGTGACTGCAAGCATTGAACACATAGCCTACCACAGGTGCCCCCGACCTGGGCCCAGCAGATTTGTAGATATGTGGTATGAAACGTCCCCCCCCCCGGGGCACGCTGCCGAATGATGCGGGCGCGAGCAGGGCTGCTCTGGAGGTGTCACAGGAGAACGCCATCACCAGGACCACCATGAATCAGGACGTGACCTACAAGACGAAGGCAGTCCGCATGTTCCATGTTTGGTGCGTTTGTTCCCGAAGGACAAAAAGCGACACAAACATAAACTTCCGACGGTCCGCGCGGATTTCTTGGATCTGTGTTGGGACCCCCTTGGCGGCGCCTCCGGTGCCGCCCCTGGCGCGTTCCGCGCGCCAGGGAGGGGGGCCCATTTCAGATCCAGGAAATCAGCGCGGACTTTCAAAAGTTTATGTTGATGCCGTTTGTTGTTCCTATGTTCTCTTGCATCTGTGCCACCACGAACCGATCATTGCAGACTTGCGGTTCTGCAGTGCTCTCTTATCGGCATAAGGGGCATCTTGCTACTGCTGCCCTGCAGACTGTTGGCGCGTGCTGAGAGCTGTCGGGCCTTTTAGGCGTTTCCGTGGTCGAGAGATTTCCGACGGTTAGCCAATCATGCAGACTGGCCGTCTTTTGTCCGGCTTGGCGTGGTCCGAACAGGCCTCTGTTCCAGGCCAGCCTTTCCACAGTTCCCTCGCTCCCAAGCGGCGACGAACAGATCCATTCGTAGTGAGGACACCGATGTGCCACCCCCTTCTGCACTCTGCGCGGGGTATCCGCGCAAGGCCGCATTGCATCCGTGGCGGCCGCGGCCGCAACTCACCGACGCCTCGTGTGGCTCTAGACCATGGGCCGTCGTTGAGTAGCCCTTTCAAATTTGAGGGGCGCATGGGGCACTCTTTGCTGAGCGTCCCTTCAGAGTTGGCGGTCGCAGTGGACTCTTGGCTGAATGGCCATCCCCCCCCGCGCACCCCGATGGGCTAGCTTCAACTTTGGAGGGCGGGGCTCAGTTCTCTGCTGCTCGACTTCCACTTTGTTTCATTTCGGCGGCGCGTCTGGGGAAGAGGTGAGAAGGAAAAGGCCTGCTCGGAAGGCTCGGAATTGGCCCCGGCCTTCCGAGTAGTGTTCTACGCCTTCCCCGAAGACAGAGAAAGGTTCTCAGAGGGCGCGAGGGCTTCTTAGAAGTCCCGCCGCCTTCCGCGAAGGCCTTTTCCTTTTCATTTCTCCTTCGTTCGCCGCCGACAGAAGCCCTCTGGCGTAGAAGTCCCCCGCGTCTTCTGAGAAGGCCTTTCCCTTTCACTTCCCTCCTTCGCCCTCCGCCGATCCTCATGACGAGATCTGTAAGACTCCCGACCACGAGGCCGTGGACGTGGATATGCCTCCCCGCCCACGGCGCGCACCCGCATGCACCCCCCGCCCGGTCTCTCGCTCTTCGGCGTGGCCCGCCTCTTCCCGGCAGGGCCGCCTCGTTGCCAGCGGCGAGGAGGGGCAACGTTTGTCGGTGGCGAGCGATCGAAGAAGAAACTACACCATAAACATAAATTTGTGGCGCTCCGCGCGGGTCTCTTGGATCCGCACCAGGCCCCCCGGCGGCGCCTCTGGCGCCGCTCCTGGCGCGATCCGCGCGCCAGGGAGGGTGGGCGGTCCAGCGCAGATCCAAGAAACCCGCGCGGAACGCCAACAGAGTATGTTTATATGGTTGTGTTCTAACCGATGGGGGGGAAAATGAAGAGGCCTTCACCTCCTCCTCCTCCATCATCATCATCATCATCATCATCATCATCATCATCAGCATCAGCATCAGCATCAGCATCAGCATCAGCA